GATCGTCAAGTACATGACCATCCATGACTTTGAGTGCAGCCTGGGCTTGGCTCCTTGTGCGGAACTCCACAAAACCGAATCCCATGCTAAGTGTCTGCCCTGGTTTCTTCGGGTCCATTTTAGTCTTAACTCTAGCAGAGACGAATCCGTCGAGGGACTGAAAAGCTTCTGCAAGCCGAGTTGTGGAAGTCGAAAAGTTTAAATTTCGCACAAACAGAGAGGTGGTTTCCAAATCCTCCTCCGGCTTATCACCGCGTGACAGCAAGTCGTCCACACTAAGGTTTTGGACCGTCGGAGCCGGGCGATCTTTTAGTGACACGGCTTGATCCAGTTGGTCGCCGCCTCTGAAGATGTCACTTGGCGCTTTCTCCAAAAAGAGCACACTATCTCCAATCCGGCGATATGCCAGCTTCCCAAAAGCGGATTTGGCGTAATTGGGCTGCGAGAACTGGACAATGGCGATTGTCCCGCTCGGAGGCATCAAAACTCTCAGCACGGGCCCAGACTCCTCGAAGAGCTTACGGAGCTCGTCGATCGTCGTCCCGTAGGGAAAGTTTTTCACCAAGATGGCCGTATCACCCCGCTTCTTTGACTTGAAAGCTTCGAGGTCCACTCCATTAGCGGTAAAATAGGCTTTGGTCTCTTGGATGACGCTCGTCTCCGCGATGGCCTGCTTGATGGCAGCATCGGCTGAGGTAGGGTCAAGAAGTTCTGATTTTGAAACACCAAGACGGTCGGCGACCGACGCGTTGACGGCGTCCTGGCTCATGTACAGCGCATTCCAGTTAAACGTAGTAGCAGCTGCCTCTTGTTTCTTCCGAATCATGTTTTGTTTCTTGAGAGGGAGTTTGGAAATTGCAAACTCATCCAGACCCGTGTCTCTCTTTGCACTCGCAGGAATGATGTGAAGAATACGCCCCTGAAACGTCGCCCCGTCCATGGCTTGGAATGCTTCAACTGCTCCCGACGGGTCAGTAAACAATATCAGGGCGAACCCCTTGCTGGTACCTGAATTGCTGACCGGTAAATGAACCTAGTATTTCAACCGTTATTAGCTGATGTTCAGACTAGTAAAATCCTCAAGAAATGCAGTAAAATTGGCAACAATTCAGTCAATCGAAGCATCTACTAAAATATTCGCTCAAGTTCTCATCAAATACCGAAGTATAAGCTGTCCCTATCTGAGCTTCATCACGTCGCCTTTGTTTTGTAAACAAATAAAAGAAAATTGTTTAGAACATACCTCTTCAGTGGTTCCGAACTGCTCAAAGGTGCCCCGGAGATCCTCCTGGGTGGCGCTGTAGGGCAGGTTTCGGACAAAAAGTCGTGACGTTCGGCGGATCGCCTCAAGTGAGTCGTCTTTTGCCGGTTCACCCCCCGATGCCTCCATCGTGGTCTCATTCATCGCCACGTCAGCTGTAGCTGGCGGGTCAACAGAAGTGAGTTCCATAGCTTCGCCTCCCTCTGCATGATCGGTCTCAGTTGTTGATGGCCCTTGCACAGGAGTTCGTTCCAAGTCATCGGGATCAACAAGGTCCAGCAGTCTGTTTGTTCGTGAACGAAGCCAATCGTCATCCTCTGCGACTACTTCCTGCTGTTCCAAATTTGATTTTGCAGCTGCTTCTTGAGGCTCCACGGGTTCGTCGCCTGCAGGAGTTTCCGCCTGCACATCAGAGACCACCCTTGCTTCTTTCAGCTGCGATGGCTGCGATGGCAAAGATTGAGAGACCAGCGGCTTTTCTGGTGCATCGATCCTGCGCTGCTTCTCCCTTCGAGTTGGGATCTGCTCGTACTCATCATCGCTCTCCTCTTCAGGAACGGCGGTAGCAGCTACAGCAGCAACACCATCGCCGATACCACCGCGGACACCATCATCGAGCGCGCCCTCTCTACCTTCCTTCATTACGTGAAGGAACTCGCGTAGCTTCGGGTCCGCCGGCTGGGGCTCATCTCGCTTGCGCTTTCTCAAGCTCGAGTCTGACTCCTTTTCAGCGGGGTGCTCACTGCCTTTGATTGTTGTGGATGGTGTTGATGCAGCTTTGGAATGCCAGGCGCTCTGGCCTTTGGTGAGGGCGGGGTCTGAGATCTAGCATTCCATCAGTATGAGGAGTTAAGACATTAAGAGGAATCAACTCACGGGTCGCGCAGTCTCGACGGCGATCTTGGACATGCGAATGTAAGACCTGTTGAAGTACTTGACTGCCTTTGAGGCATCTTCGGGTGTCTTGTAGCCCACATAGCCAATGCGTCGCTGGGGAATCAGCTTGACATCGGTAATCTCGCGACCTTGGGCGGAGAAGTGCTTCCGAAAGTCAGCCTCCGAGATATTGGGTGGCAAACCCTTGATGAATATCCTCGATGAAGCCATTATGATGTTGTTGTTTGTTGATTATATCTCCCGGTCAATGGCGAATGGTTTCACCGTGGGAGTTGAACGCGTGAAGTCATTTTCAGAACTTGGGCTCTTTAAGAAGGGAGAGAGGAAAAAAAAGTTTCTCTACCACATTCTTATTGCCCGAGGTTGGGACCCGATTTTGGCCCGTGCACCGGATTTTCTAACAGTCCAACCCCACCATCAGCTTCCAATATGCTTCTATATTCAGTTGTTTTTCTTCACCGCCCTGAGCTCAGTGATGGGAGAAATTCCAGCGAACAAGTCAAACGCCACTATAAACAGTACGACAGCACTGAAAACGGTCGAGGGTAGCTGTTCAAGAATCTAGATATCTCCTTCTATCAAGAGATTCTGCTCAGCTGAATATGACAAAAGATATTGGCCAATATATCACTCATGAACATGAGAAAATTCTGCCATCTCAATATTTACTTCAGTGGCAGGCAATGTATATCAACTCAAAAGTGTATATCTGTCCATAAGAGCCTCATCACGGAAGAAGCCACTTCGTATTCTCAGCTCCCACTTCACATTTTCAAGAATGTTGGTGTGGATGGGCTGGTCTTGCCTCCAAGACTCATCTTCCACACAAGACCTGCATCTTGAATGCCAAAGGGGTAATTCTGGAATCCAGTGGCTTTTTGGACTCTCGCGATGCCTCTTTGATGTTGCCGCTGCAGTATGATTGCTGCTTTCCGTTGTCAATCATCGTATCGTTCAAATCGAATGAAACTGTCTAATGACCAGCAAGCTCTCCAGACTTCTCGACCTCAGTGCTGCACTAACAGCTCCTACAGCACTCATTCATGTCTATTGCTTCCTCGAATATGAGATTATCATCAGTCGGTAAATCTCCAATAGCGGGAATGAAGATAGATTCCTCATCTCTGATATGCAAGTCAGATGGCGGGGTGTTATACGTTTGCTAGACGCCGATCATTCGCACATCTCCTCAAAGACTACGAGACAATGAGCCTCAAAGTGCTCAACATATGAGCTCGTATTCTTTGACTTGAGGTTATCGTCTTCAGTTCCCGTATCATTCATGTTCGAAAAGAGATTCTCCATACCAGGCTCATCGTTTGCAGCAGTGTATTAACTGAATGCAAGAAAATAGATCAACAAAACAACAACTTATCCGCCTGGTTTCCCAGCAACTTGGAATTAACTTTCAATTCAAGTAGCGGTGAGTTATCATCTAGAAATATTCTCAAAGTTTATATGGCCCTACAACTCTGGATTTGGCACTCCGACATTCCTAGCCTCCCACCTTTCAGCTACCATTGCACGGTCTGGCAAATATTGGTTCTTCAAGAACCGTGAACTTGAGACGAATATGAGAGCTTCAAATACAAGTAAATAGTCAATATTTAATCAAAAGTGCTTCTTGTATTCTAGATCTGCCAGAGGGGTGCTGAGAAATGCATTCTTGATGTGCATTATGGCATACGTGAGATGCACACTCCACACCATGAGCTTTGGAATGACTGGTAAGGGAATGCGGATGCAAGCCATATACTCTGGAGAATTCTTGTCAAAGTTTATGGAGGGCCATCTGACTTTCGGTGTGCAGCAACTCTTGGAATTGATAAGTATAAGAAGACCTCGCTGCTCGCTCATCATATCTACCAGAACTGTTGTCCAAGGAATACTGGTGAAATGCATGCCAGATGCATTTCTCAGTAACTCCAACATTGTCTTCTGGATGAGACATTAATTCACTACTGTAATATATCCAACATCGAATCTATGGATGATCGACTGGCTTCAACACGGCAATAACACTCCGGAATTACGACCTTGGAACTCGTCGATATGTCACCGAGAACACGATTATTCACCAAAATAATTGCATTATTCCCGAGAGATGGTCAAGATGTTCGAGTTTTTGAATGGCAATATTGATTACAAGAGCTTGGGAGTCAATCTTGGTTTGGTGAATGGGTCGTCTTGAGTCATGCGATACTTCGTCCATGACCCACGAGCAAGAGTTATCACACTATCCTCCGGATGCGGCAACTACTCGACTACAACAACAACTATTCTTCTTCCGGTTGAACTTCGAAGTTTATTCACGGTTTGGACCTCGTTTATTTACCATGACTCCGGTGTCAATCCATCATGAAAACTCTTCATCACTTCTGTCACTATCACTGTCACATTTAGCGACCGGAAGATACCGCAAGTTCCAACAAGGTTCCACGGCACGAGTTTCCTTCAAGACAAAAGTTAACGCTGTCCTATTGATGGAGACCATGGGGAGAAGAGGTAAGAACTTCAATTAGCGTACTGATAGTCCTTTGCGCGAACTTCGTGGGCCATTTACTTCATGAGTTTCTGTATATGTATGACGCCACCAAAGTCTATCAAGGTCTTGGCAGACTGTGATGCCTTTTTTTGGCTGTGATGAGAGACGGACGCAAGAAGTTACCTCGGAAGTTGGACGTTTTGTCGTTAATCTTCGTGATACATTTGACGGGGCTGAATGTCCGTGTTGACATCTCGACGATTTTCCCATTGTGGTTCTAAATATGCGTCTGTATATGCCTGGTGCCTTATTGGTGTTCCTGACTTGAGTGTAATGGTATACGGTCAGGGTCAGGAACTCATCCGCTCATACACCCAGGCGAATGTACATTATGGGGTGTGAACTCACGATATCCATGGTATCCACCAGTCGTACCTCGTATTCTTTACCTACCAATAACTACGTCCATATCCCATGTGTTCCCGGACGACAAAAATTGGAGCTGTCCAATATCACCAACACAACAACAGCTCGACCGATGTGACGAGAGGCGTAATTCGGCATGCCAGAACTCGCAACAAACTCCACACAGGATTGAATGTGAAAATATTGTGTAATTGTTACTCAAACTCATGATCTGACGAATCGGTGGTCCCAATTTACCAACTACTGCATGCAAAGTCGATGGGGTGCTTTGGCTTATTGACTCGATCACCAATGTCAGTGTTCATGTGAGTAAGCCCCCGAGTATTTCCTCTCCCATCAAGTAGTAGGCTCACAGTATTTTTGAGTTCCTCTGGTTATTGGTCGAGACCCTCATATGTAGCACATGCTGGTTCCTTGTAAGTGACTTTGATGAAATACAGCTTCGCCATTGCTGTTTGTCCTTGTAGCTTGATTCAACTAAAAAAACATGTTACATAACGACATCGTACTTAAATACAACCTAGGCACTGGATACACATACCTAGCAACAATACCGAAAGTATTAACATAACATCGTCATACCGGGAAGTATAGAACAAAACTGGATGTAAAATTATCTGTACAGGGTAGGCCATATCGCAAAGACGGAGCTTGTTAAAGTAAAGGGTCGGGTACGTACATAGGTAGCTACGGATGCGAGCCGCGCCGCCCCTGGCATCGTCACAGCAAAAGAAGCGTCCAGTCCCATCCAAGGAGTGCCCGTGCACTTTATTCCCAGGGCAGCTCCCACTGCAACTGACGCTGATGCTGCTGCTGACGAGGCTACAGCTTGGCCAACGATAACCCAATCACGAGCATACACACGCGACCTTAGACTTAATCCGCTCCACAGTCCACACAAGGCTTTAGCATTTGCGCGTCTCATCAAGTCAATCAACAGCAAAACCTCCAAACACAATCAATTGTAATACTAGTCGCTATTATTTTTACTTTATCGGCCGAAAACATTAACGCCTCGTACCCTTCGCACATCACGTATGTACCTCCTGGATCCTCTACGGCTAGCATCCCCTCCCGTGTCCCTCAAGAAAGGGGGCGCACACCAAGGCGTCGTCAAGCGCCAGCCTCACGACAACAACTCAGACTAACAAGATTTCGCAGGCCGCCTTTGTTTCCTAAACCGAACACTTTCTTCAACCTAAACTTAACACAAGATGGCCGACGCCCACGTTCCCAAGGCAGAGTCTCCCGTCGCTCGGGAGAAGCTCGAGGGTAAGCAACACCCCTTTTGGAGCTCGAGAAGCATGATACTGATATAATGCTAGCTCAGATCAAGTCCGCCGACATGGTGAGATAACCCGACATACGTACCGAGATTCCGGACGCGATCGCTGACGAGAGAGTGACAAAGACGGAGGACATGCAACAGGAGTCTATCGAAGTTGGTATGGGGAATCCATGACAGCTTTGCGCCGGCGGCAGGAAGACAAGGCTGACGTGACGATAGCCCAGGAAGCCATGGCCAAGTTCACCATTGAGAAGGTTTGCTCACCAAGTACTGCATCTCTGTTGCCACCCTAGCTGACATGCCATGACAGGACATCGCACAGCACATCAAGCGCACAGTTCGTACACCCCAAGCCTGTCACGATCGATCCCATACTCACATACTGTAGTTCGACGAGCGAAAGGGACCAACCTGGCACTGCATTGTTGGTCGAAATTTCGGTAGCTTCGTTACCCACGGTTCGTCAAACCCAAGTCGCCGATTTCCGACTCCATAGCCCCGGGCGCGATTGGCTGGCTAACACGCTACGCAGAGACCAAGCACTTTATCTACTTCTACCTTGGCCACTGCGCAATTCTACTATTCAAAACGCAATAGGCATGGGAGAAATGGCTCACCGGTGGGGGCCTTTGGAAGAGCTTGCTGTAGCGAGAGGGACGGGTGTGGTAGGACAAAAGAAGGCAGAGGCAAAACCAAGAGGCAGCGAGGCAACATGATGGCTGCTGACTGCTGTATCGTCCACCCTACCCTGCTGGATCTGCCTCTATGTACGAGACGGACGGCCGTGGAGCTTGCGGCTGTACTAGGTTCATGATCAATAATGAGGGGCGCTCGCCCAGTTTTTCCAAATCTTTCCATTCCTGGACCAGCCTGATGTTGAGAGGTTTGTTGCTGGGGGTGGCTGATCAGCCGTGACGGGCTGCCAAGGTGTGCCTGATGCAAGGCTGTTGGTTTTTAGTTTGAGATCGGAGATTCTGACAGCCTGGTGTGTCCTGTTCCTGAGACATAACTGTCACTGTCAGACATGTCGGTCATTGTTCGATTTCTTCAAGGCTGTCACTGATGATGCTGTTGTTGGAATAGACTTGAGTCAGAGATGTCACTGGCGATAGCAATCGCCGATCATCCACGATCCCCAACATCGCGAAAATCACGGCCATCTAAGGGTCTAGTTAACCGTCCGATCAACAGCCTCGACGATCCACCTCTAAACAGTTCACGTGGTCTGGAAGAGGCTACCAGACTCTTACCTTATTGTAGATGACAAGGCGCGGCCCCAGAAGGATTTACTTACCTGATTACCCACAGCGGGCAGTCTAAGCAGTGTGAGCGACGGCACACCCGTCAAAGGTTGGCAGATAGGGCCTTTTGGATCGGGACAAAGTCAAATGCCTCGTCCGTCTTTACCGAGTCGGTCCTGAAGTTCCGCTAGCTATCACAACTCGCATCAACTCTTAAGTGAGTGAAGCTAGAGACACTTTCGGAACGGAGGCGGGGCTCCATATAATCGACGCCCTCTCGTTGGTGTTGGCGTTGGCGTGGGGGTGGGCGTTTATCAAGACGACGGATGAGGAGGGTACGCTTACAATTACAGTTACAGGTACAGGAACAGACAGGAACAGGACGATTTGATTCCCCTCTTTGGGAGGAAAAAGTTTAAACAGAAAATTTGAGGATATGAGGCTAGTGTGACGGGTAAGAAGTTGATATGTGATAACCGAGATGGTCATCCTTTGTCCGTGAGAACGCCATTGAGTAAATGGAAGATCTTGGTCCATGATGAAAAGTGAAGAGTCAGAAACTCTAATAGCAGGGGTATGGTATGATGTTATCACAGTCTAAGTCTAAGTGCAAGATCATCAGGCACTATAACAATGACCTCAGACATGGAGAAATTAAGTAATTGGCTTGGAAGACTGGAATTGATCAACGTCTGGTGATTTCTTATCTCAACCTCATTTTGACTGATGATAAACTTCACTCAAGATAGACTCTTGAGGCATATGAAGAGGCTTTTTTCATTGGAATATGATGGTCCGGGCCGCTGCCGTTAGAATCATCCAATAAAATGGACCCTCAGCCGAAGAGACGGAAATCCTCTGCTCAAACACCATCAAGTCAAAGAATGGCCAAGCCAAAGCCTAAAGGTGACCGAGAACACTTCGGCCCACTCACTCACACTTATTCACCCACTGAATTGGGTTGGGTGGTACCCCTCTTCGAAGATCCTGGTCGAGAAGGGTCCATATGAAAATCTCAAAGTTGGAAAGAAGAAGCAATTGAGGGACCATTGATAGTGTATAGTTGACTTTAGTTTAGTGTTTCTAGTGAAAGAAAGACTGGAGAAAAGAGTCAACCTCTTCGTATGATGATATTCCCATGCTGATCTCGTCTGGCAGAGCTGGACGTCTGTACGTGTGGTTGAACCGGAAGATGCACCACATGCAGTGCTGCACCACATGTGCATCGCATGGCATCGCATGAGGATGCATTAGGATCAAGAGGTGCAGATGGGGGTGGTCCACCAGGCCCAATTAGACCGAATGAGCCGAGCCTATGCCGTTCGGTTGAGATGTCTGATATCGTACTGTGTTGTACCTGAATGGAGTTGATGACTGTTGATGACCATTGTTGGTTATGCTTGACCAAACATGAGTTGTTATGGAGAATTGATGACCAACAAGGTGCATGATTCTGCTGATTTGGTATGATCTGTACCGTGATAGATTGTGTTGTTGTATCTCCTCAAAGTGAGCTACCCTAGAGTGAAGCTGACGATTCAGTCGGGCAACATCTTGCTTCACTGTTGTTCGACTTCAGAATTGATGTGATTGGGATGGCTACCTAGGTATCTATATGCAAAACTCGCTCTCTGGCAGTGGCTTCTTTTGATTATGCAGCTTCGTGACAAAACTGTTGTCTCAAACCTCACTCAACGCTCTTCAAGTCTTGCATGCAAGAATATGTTGGGCGACAACTCTACTCCTATTCTATCCCAAGGTAATCAAACCAATCCTCACTGTAACTCAGACCTTCTTTATGAAGCGGGTAACTTTATCTTGTACTTAACGGCAGAAAACTTGGTATTGTGTGATTGTCAAAGGAGGCTCCCAGGCACTGAAGGCATAGTGGCTCGAGCTCACTCGTCCGAAACGTCAGAAACGGAGGGCCTATGCGATAAAGGTATTGCTCATTACAAATGGTAATCACTGCTGATTTACAAGCACAGTAAAGTTGTAAGTCACACAAATGTTTTGCTGATTCGGGGTCCCAAGCGAGGGTTACATATGGCGAATATTGAACACCATCAGACAGCCACTTCGAGTATTCTTACAGGTTCAAATGCCAACTTGGCTTGAAAGCTGAATGAAACAACAATCCAATACCAGTAGATTTACTGAGACAAAGGATTGCGCTGCGTCGATAGACTGATCTCGCAGTTACATTGACGTGGACAAGGGAGTAAGGTCAAAACACGGTATAACCTTCAGACTTCATCCCTCAATATCTCAGTAGCCAGTTGCAGATTAATCAAGATTAGCTCCTAGGTAATAAACAGAAGGAAAATGGTTGTCGAATCATTCAGTGATTTCCTTGGAAGCATGTTCAGGGCGTTGAGCAGCCGCCCTTGTAATAGCCAATATCTGCAGCGCCTCCCGTTATATTGAATACAAGCGGGTACTCACATCCAATCTCGCAGCACTCAAATATGCGTTTCAATGTCTCTGTGCCCTGAACAAGGATCAAATCAATGAATCGAGTTGATCCTAATAGTCCTAGAGACTCGATCCCATAATTGCACACGATCGATAAGTGACAGAGTGGTTATGATGAGGCAAATAAGCGCCCATCTTTGCCCAGTAAACTATGTACATCAGCAGAAGCCATACGAGGTGACAGCAAAGGAGTGTCAGGGATCTTATCACCCTTGTCCATCATGGATGGGAATCGAAAAGTCGGCGGGTCCAGGCAATACCCGACTTCCACCTGAATCACTCGCCGAGAAAACTCCCCTTCTGTTTTGTTTGTTTTGTCTGTTGTAATTTTACTGAGTGTCCCCCAAGGGTGAGGCATCGACACAGTCCCTGTTACAGATGTCCTTCCCTCTAATATCGGTAGTTGTTAATATCAATAAAATTTCTAAAACGTAAACCAAACACCAAACAAACATCAGACTCAGGATGGTCACGAGCCAAGAGGCCAGGCGTCAAAATCTGAGACATAGCAGATGCAGATACGGATACAGAATGGGAGATGTCAGCGCAGCCTCAAAAAGACACGAACAGCCGTGGCGCATGCATGGCCCACTCTGTACGTGGTATTCTTCACGGTAGAATACCTCTTGCATCTTTCAAGATGTTGCATTCGTTCAATTGAATCGACAGACTTGCAGACCTGCCTCGTAGCACAATAGCATCATCTTACGGCCTCCACTATCAAGCGGTCTGTTGAGAAACCTCGGATCATCAGGCCCATCATCCGGGTCATTGGCAGATTCTCAGGACATTCGGACACTATAAACTGGTTCGACGTGGGATGTCCCGACAGTCCAGGCGAAGCGAGGCGAGACGGAGAGAGGAGCCTCGCTGGAGTCTGGAGCCATTTGCCAACGTGACCATTTCCATAGTGCGAGACGGGCCTCCAGCACATTCACAGTAAGGTGTTTTATCGGTGAGAACGGAAAAAATAGCTGTGGTCTTGTACAGCAAATACATGCTGTGGCGGTCGGTCTGCTTGAAAAGGCTGGCGCATAAAGTGACAAAACAGAACAGTTTCACCAATTGAGAACGCTTTGAGTCACCAAATTTACATCGCCAAGCGCGATAACAAGCCACTGACAGTTGTACGTGTTGTAATTGTTCAGCAGAGGTGCAAGATATGCCAATGCAGCAGGATGCCACAGGCTGTGATGTAAGCGATCATGCTCCGCCGAGCCACTCCCCACTCTTGTGCAACTGTAACTCGAATGAAGCGCGTCACCAAAAGGTACATGACCTTTTTTCAACTCTTCTCTCCCACCGAAGGAAGACACACCCTTGTTGCACAGCACAGCGGTGCCCCCATGTCGAACAAGGGTCTTCCGCTTAGTTGCCCCGGCGGACTGATCCTGGTCAGGCCCAGCTAGACACGTTCGCAGGCTTGTTGCTGTTACTGTCCTGTACTGTACCAGTACTGTTAGGTGGTTACTATTCGTGGACTCGAAATAATTCCCAACGTAGAGATGTTGCTGCTTAGGTTGGCGGGCATATGGATTCAGAACTGCATTCTGTGTGACGAACAAAGCAGTGTCTTAGCTCAGATCGGTACACACTCGTATCCAGAACAAGAGAAAGAGGTCGAGTTTGTGATTAGAGGAGTTCGCTAACTGGCCGTTGAAAGCAAAAAAAAAAAAACTCTACCGTTATGATTAAGGGAAAGCTTAAATAAATCTACCGAGCGTGCGAGAGTGGTCTGAGTGGTAGAGATTTACGACAAGCTCAATCTAGAGACCGCGTCTGCGATCAGAAGTTCTCGATGAATACTCTGCATGTCATGCCGCTATGGAAAGAAAAAAACAGAGATTCACCTATTTTGTCTCTCGAGAATCAATAGACTTCAACACAAGAGGAGAATTATCGGCGTGGTGGAGTTGTTAAAAAACACCGGCGTTGCGGGGGCGGGGCATCGGTGTTGTTGAGGCTTTCTTTCGATGGAGATGTGCATATGTACTGTGTTCGATCATGCAGTGTCATCCGTAACCGGATCATATCGGAGACTTTCAATGTGAGTGCGGTCTTTTTCTTCTGTCTGTTTGTTTGTTTGCTTGTTGGTCTGTCTGTCGATGGTGGTGGTTCGGCTATAGAGTCCGGCTTCTTCGGTGGCCGTGGTTAATAAATCCTGCTTTCCGCTCTTCAAGATGCTTCTTCCCCGCATTGCGGAGCGGAGGAGCGGGTGTTCCCTTATGATACCCATCTCCGGTTAGAAGCGGTCCCGAATACTGGGACGATCAATATGAAGTTTCGAGAAAGTGTCAAAAGCTTCATTATACAGAGATATTCGTTGATAGTTTGGTGGTTGTTGAGTATCTTCCGTAAAGTTTTAATAATTAGCTCCCGGGTAGGTAGTTCGGTTTGACTTCAACGGCTGCAAAGAGGTGACATGAGAGTAATTTATTTGTGATTTATTTTTACATCTGTCAATATATTTGGGTTCAGTTCAGACCATTCAAATTTACCATAATATTCGGAAACCAATTTCCAAACCTCTATTTTACATGTCGCTCTCTGTCATGCAAAACATATTCGAATTCTTGTAGGTCTCAGGCCATTTCTTCACGAGCCCTGCATAACCTATGCATTTCCTCTCTTCATGTCTTGAACAACTCTGGACCCTGATCCACCAGGATGAGATGATCGGCAATCATGTCCAGCTGCCACCAGACCAATTCATCTGCAAGGTCCCGACCACGCCAGCCCAAGTAGGGTCGCAGCAGATGATTTGCGTGGATGGGGTTTAAGTCACATTTACACAGCCTTGGATAAGCCTCGAATAAATCGTCCTCAAGCTTTCAAGGCCATTACGAATATTTCCAAGAACAATCGTATTAATTCCAAGGGTTTCAGAGTCAAAACGTCAGCCTGTGACGCTGATGGGTATAAGATAGAATGGCTCAGCCCTTTCTACGATGGAAACGGACAGCCCGACATGCATTCTGTAAGCCACATACGACCATAGACTCACCGGGGTTCAGTCTTCCATGCAGATGCATCCCTGACTGACTCTTCATCAGTCATCAGAGCCCAAATCAAATGAATGGTTCACACAAGAACGGTACCTGGAACATGCCCTTCCGCATATCCCCCAATCAGCCTCTTTACACTCGACACAAAAATTGATGGTGGCCGGATGCTGAGCTGTTTTTGAGCTGACCACAGATCACGGGGATGCCGCCGAGACGGGCAGACTCTCCAAGACATGACGCATTGGCACCTCTGCTTCTGTCTGGTCAGCAATGTAGTACGAACAAGAGCATCTTTTCGTATCGAGAAGCATAATAAATGGCTTAGATCAATGCCTGTATCATTGTAATAAAAAGTAAAACCGGAAGCATGGGGTGCTAGAGTCATTCAAGACTGAGAACAGACTTGTGAGAAACCATCGCGGAAGCCATTCGGCACATGTCCAATCATCAGATCCCCCAAGTCCTCGGTCGCCATGTGGCAGCGTCACTGTGCTGCACCTCACATCACTCCCAGTCTACCACTGGCTGGCTGAAGACATCGGGTTTAGCCTCACATCGCTCGATTGGAAGAAACAGGGTTCTAAACATCCGCCTCTTGACTCTCAAGTCCCCTTCTTTCGCTTCCATAATCAATCAGGCAGGCATTCAGATAACGAAGCCTGAAAGAACCGTCGAGATTGCTTCTCTGCTTAACAATCCACTTGCTCAATCTTCGACTCACTGGAAATAGAGTCACAGATCCACTGTGAACAGTCAGTAGGGCCAAAACGGTCATGGATCCGTTGCCGGCTCGCTGGAAGCGCGGCGACAGGGGTTATGGATATGGGGGTTTGAGCCCGCGCTATTGTTATTGCAGGCATAGCAAGGCAGATGAGATTGGGCCAAGTTCATTTATTAGAGATCCATTTCAAGGGAGAGATGATAGATAACAAAGGGGTAAGAAAGAAATTCAAGCCTCAGCAAGGCTTGAATGGCTGAAACTCATGGCGATGGCCTTTTCAAGCTGCACAATTGTTTCAGCAAGTTTTGTTCCAGCCCTCTGAAATCTGACTGCCCGGCCAGCCGTTTCTGGAATGAGGCCTAAACAGATCAGATGGGATGCCCATCCATCCCATCCCATCCACGGCTCGGCCACGGCCACGGCCACGACTACGACTTCGACTACAACCACAACCAGAAGCCCCCCGGCCGGATGACAGATCCGCCGTGACCTCCCATACCGAGCTCTTGATGTCTTGCCATGGGTCGTCCAGAATGGGTCGTTCGTTCGCTAGACTCGTAGCTCAACCTGCCCGCTGGATCCAGCCCGTCAAGTCCCGTTTCTCTGGGCTGACGACCTGACAACCAATTGGGTCCTGAAAACAAACAAGATGCGACAATCTGAAGAGCACCATTGTCTCGTCTCGTCCTTTCTCTCATCTCCCCAGCTTCGCCTTGAAAGAACCCTTTCTCTCATGTTCAAATACCTCAATGAGAGACAAAGATCTTCTAGAGGCCGGCGAACGGGACGGGAGGAACCCTTTGGCTTTTCGCTTTTCTGGGACGAGTTTACTCGACTAGCACAACGCCTTGCATGCATCCACCACCTCACTCGGTCGCTGTGGGCCTCTTCGTAGTACTTGGTCCGCTCTTCGCCGTGAATGTCGTCATGAAGTACTGAATCATAAGCCGGAGCTATTCCAGGGCAGCTTGTAGGGTGCTACAGTGGCTCAGAGCTCATGAGCAGTACTTAGCCTTTACCTCTGATGGGACCTTGACCGGTTGACTCTTCCACATGCACCATCAGGCGCACCATCAGGCACGCCACCGCAGCCACGGCCTCAGTGGACGCTAGTGAAGCTGAAGATATTTGAGTACAGAAGAAGAACATTTGGCTCAGCAAACAATTCTGAGTTTGTCGCTGTAGCAGATAGAGTTGCAGCGCTTATAAGCTTTGGATGGCACCTGAGGCACAGCCCTCCCAAGGGTTGCTCATCACTGAGACCACTATAGAGCTGTGAGTAGTGATCAAGTACTCTCACCCCGGACGAATTTCCGTAGCGTACCGTGCGGGTATCTTGGCATATCCGCCAAAGACAGCGTCTCCCTGCTCGAGTGATGCTGCTGTCAATGAGTGTTTTGCGCTGTCGGACCCCAAATTTGGTACTGTGCTGCGCTGTGTTGTTCGCTGTGTTGTGCTGTGCTGTACTGTCCACCCCGGTCAACTTCCCTGTTTGGCCGCACCCACTCCCGCCCGTCAGGTAAGGTCAAGGTCAGAGGTGCTTGCTTGCTGGTGAGGTAGTGTAGCAGAGAGGCAGGCACGGGTACCTCCCCCCAGTTCCTTCCGCACGCAGTACCTTGGTACACCCTCGTCTCCCGTCCTTGACCTGGGCTCGCCGCTGCCGCTCTCATTCCCTCATCATCTCTGCCCTCCAACAACTTTCTCCCTCAACTTGTTTTTTGCTTCTCGACGAGAGTTGCAAATCACAAAGGGTGTTGGAGATTCTTTGTGTGCTTTGAGGTGTTGGGATCATTGCACTGCCTGTCAGTGACAAAAAACACCTGGCGCTCCTCTTTGTCCTCCTGAATCGGAGAACGAGCCCCCATATTCCTAGGCTCTCACGCCCGTCTCATCAAAACAGCGGCCTCTCTCTCGGCTCACCTTGTTGGATGACAATGTGACAACGCTCCTCATGATTTCTTTTCAGACTTTTACACATTGACGAATACTTCCCTCCTCAGCTACGATTTTCTCAACTTGCTCTCTTCACCTTCAATCCGCGAACTCGAACGATCTAACGTCACGCTGCCTCCAAGCTTCTGCATTGATCGACACAACATTCAACTCCGCGACATTTCCCACCCCACGGCCTATAGAGGCTCGTGATGACCTCCAGTATGAACTCGCTCAAGGTTCCCGAAAGCGGGCTGCAGCTGGAGGGCTCGACTGGCAAGGATGCCAGTCTGCCTTCCCAGGCCTTTGCTATCACCCTGAGTGATAATGTTATTGAGGACATGATCAAATGCGTCCAGAACGGAGATGGCATTCAACTTTCTCTTGGAGCCAATCCCGTAAGTTGAGCAAACCAGAGCCTTTTGTCACAGCGGGCTTATGGTTGGACATTTGGCTCATGTTTTCGAATGCTAATATGCCCGTACCAGACCTTGCTCTATGGTTCCAAATCCCACTCCATTGAGCCGCCCTCCGACTCGAACCCATATGATCTTTACCTCACACGACCTTTCGAATCGACTCGAACTGCCGAAAAGATTCCATACACTGGCTCTCTCTTTGAAAAGCCATCGGGCGCTACTTCGAAGAAATCGAAGACTGGCAAGGCCGACAACACCACTGACGGCAAGACTGCAAAGTCCAGCAAGAGCGCCCAATCAGGACGAGATTCTGACATCGAGGCTCTTCAAAATGGACTTGCGGCTCATGCTGCTTCTCGGGAGAAGTCGGTCTCACTTGCATCTAGTTTTGGGATGATCATACTGACATGTTTTGAAGGACTCGCGTGGTCGACATGTTACCAGCGAAGAAGGCAGCTATCAAAAACAAAAGCAAATTGCTCGACTCAGCTCCACGATCGATCCCCCAGTCACCAGGCCAGGTTTCGCTCGGGTCTCTTACACCCAACACCGCGACATCACAACCCCTTGATCGAGCCAAGGGAGACCGAGCCATGCTGGTGCATGAGCTCGCTGTGCAGGATCGCTCATTTGATTACTTGGCCAAGAAGTGGGAAGGCAAGGTGGAAGACATGGAGCCGACGCTTCGAAAAGTTGCCGATGATCTCGACGATAACAACAAATGGTCCCTGAAGAAGAAGTCCTGGAGAGACCTTGATGTTTGGAATTATGATTATGATACCCAAGAAGTACGACAGAAGGCGATCGACAACGCCGTTCGACAATATGACAAGCAGAGAGTCACCATCTCAGAGCCAGAGTGGGACAGACTACTACCCAAGGAGGAGCGAGGAACAGGAAAGAGTCTTAGCCGGGTGCAGGCTAAGATTACCAAGACTGTTAGCACGCCATCAATCAATGTTGAAATGGCGGATGGAGGCACAACGCCTCGAGACAGTGGGGATTCTCAAGACGCCAACCGGCCAAGGGTTGGAGGAGAGGCTATGTCGAGGTCCACCTCAAATCCTCTTTCCACAAAGCCCAAGAAGCCCACTGCGCAGGAGGCTCAGGTCAAGCGCCTTTTGGGTAAATCCAAGGCCAAGACGACTGCATCAGCTGCATCTTCCAAGCCAGCATCCAAGGTGTCTTCCGCTAAGGCATCTCCCACCAAGCCACGGCCCACCGCCGCGCCCAAGGCAAATGGAGGAAGAGTTCTGTCGCAGGCAATCATTTCTAACTCGGACACGTCAGAAGATGATGCCGCTCCTATAGTCAAGCCTAAGCCGAAGGCTGTGCCCAAACCAGCACCCAAGATGAGGGACACGGTCGTTGCTAAACCTCGACCTGTGGTAAGGGAGCCAATGAAGCAGCAGATTACAGCCAAGCGACCTCGCGAAGATGACGACTCGAGCTCGAGCTCCGGAACACCGTTGTCGAAGCGCATCAAGCCCAAGCAGCCTCTTCCTGCTCCCCGACTCAAGCATCGACCATCGGACGCAAGCCAGAACTCTCGCGGAACTATAACTTCAACCTCAATGAAGAGCAAGAACACGTCCCCAACCAAGTCTTCTCCTCTGGCATCATCGCCACCCACCAATGCCTCGGATCTGGAGAACGAGGCACCCGCTGCATCAATTGTTACGAAGAAGCGCAAGGTCGAAGGCTTAAGCAAGGGCGGTGTCACAAAGCGACCTGCAGCATCAAGGTTTTCTGATGACCTTGTGCAGAAGGCACAGGCGTTCAAAGTTTTTTATCAAAAGTATGAGACGCTGCACCATGAGATTTCAGCGCTGGACAATCCCTCGAGCAGGAAGCTGGGTCATCTCATGGAAATGAGAGACCGACTGAAAACTATGAAGATGGAGATCTACAGTGAATGTCCCCCGGAGAGGAGCTAAAAGGCGGCAATAATACGACAGAATAAGGACAAGATAGGGTGCGGGGGGTTTGATTTCAACGGCGTACAGCATCACGACCGGATAACTTTTACAGTTGCATTTTGCATTGGGAAAACAGGATCTGCATGAACGAGCCACCTGTCGGACAGGAACAGGAACAGAGCTCTCTTCGATATTTGCATCGTTTTTCGTTTTCTTTTTTTGATACCACATGAGAAGACAAGACAGGCCAAACGCGGCCAGAGACAAAGCCAAGCCAAGGCAGGCAGTTAGATTAGGCAAAACAAAGGCCAAACAACACAGAAAATTGTTGAAATTGAAATCATGATATTCATATATACTGCATTGAGTGACAAAGAAACTTGTTGTTTGATTGAGGACCCAGTCGTGAGTAAAATCAGACAATATTGAGAACTATAGTTCGGTACATGGAAAGATCAAGTGGTACTATGACGTGAGGCGCATGTGATGGGGGTGCGTGATTTACCTTTGGATTTACCAGATTGGGGGTTTGATACTGAGAGGGTTGGTTTGGTTGGCCCTTTGAGTTTGGTGGGGGCCGTATATTGCGTGTGAGCTGATTCAGGACCCTCTTAATAAAGAAGGATTAGCAAATAGCGGCAGATCATAGATTTCTCGTTTAGAATGGGGCTTGTTAAGCAAAGGATGCTCGTATTGCTTGTAGTTTAGACGGCATAGGAAAAGGCAGATGCTGTCTGTGTAGTAATTGTTGCACGGTGCTTTATTTAGTCTTTGTGTAGTTTATGCGGCTGGCCGTTGTCAAAAGAAGTTTGCTCGGATTCTTTGGCGATAGACAATGAACTCTTTTATGCGACAGCATATCTTAAGACATTCAATGAAGAAGAGTAGATTCACTAATTCATCTGTCTTTTACGGGCAAACTTATCATGCAGACGTACAAATATCTGCTCAGATGTGAGCATCTCAATTCTACCTTTCTCTTCAAGTTCAGTCTCAGTCAAAGCAACAGCCATCACACACAATGACATCCAGACGCTCCCAGTTCGTCACAGAGATCCCTCCTGGAACTTACCTCCAAGACCCAACATACGTTTACACAGTTCACCCTGCTCAGACTCAAGATCCGTTCCGAAACGTGCCTGTTCGCACGGCCGAAGACTACAGTCAAATGTATCCTCCCTCTTCTACTGCAACAAACGTCTTCATTCCTGGCTGCTGCCGTCATCGCCGCCGTGCATCTCGGCACTCAAAGACCTACGAAAGCGATGGTTCGACCAAAAGCTATGCTTCTTACGAAGACGTCCAGCCTGCTCCGCCTATGGATCGTCTCCCACCACGCATCGCTCTGAAACAACTCTCGGATTTTCTTCACGAAGCTAGTGTCTTCTACAACACGCAACTCATGGACTTTACACGTGAGCATCAACGTCAAGGCCACGACACCTCCAACGAAGCTCTTCGACAGTGGCTCTGGAACGACTGGACCCGATCTCGCGATAACCCGACCCGTGAGAACTTTACATCTACAAAGGCGAGCATTACACTCTTGCTTCGTCAGGTCGAAACCGCTGTTGCTACTCCTTGGCTGGAGAATGCGAACCTAAACGCCAGATTTGACTTCAGCTACAAGGCTCTGAAGAGTTCCTGTGATGAGATTGTCAGATTGTCTAGCAAGGTCATGAGCGATTGGCAAACTTGTCGATTTCTGGCTGTTGAGCTCAAGAATGCTCGTGTTTATGCCAACCCGGAGGGACCTGTTCTGAGACATTTGTTTGTAGGATGGGAGAAGGGCGAGCCTTGGTGATCCTGAAAAGAAAGGGATTTGTTTATGTTGCTAGAGTTGTTTCTTTTCTTTCTTTTGTTGTATGTTCTTATGTGTTTGGTTGGAGTTTACCAGGATGAGATGTTATCTCTTGCACAGACATTGCTAGGGCGACCAATCGGGAAGACGGTGGAGTTTGAGGTTGATAGCCCCCTTTCCCCTGGTCTATCAGCCACGTGGGACATGCCGATCACTCTTTCGAGAGTGTCTGTGGCGGTGCAATACTACATGTGGCTTTAACACCAACATTCTCGCGAGCTATGATAGGAAGATAGACTTGACCCAATTAGATGTTAGGCAAAAAACTGCAACTTTTCTTTTTTATTAACAATTTTTTCTATTTGTCGCCAGTAGACGAGACAATGTTTGGATTACAATAGCGTTCTTTTTTCCCCGGACTTCTCCTTTACCTTGGAAAAAACCCTAGCGAACAGGGACTATGTTCTAGACTCAAGGTGTCTCCGATATGCTCTGCGTAGCATACATAGTTTTGTGTTCTTGCTGAGGGCACGTTGAACAATTTTCTGTTCAAAACTTCTGTTCTGAACTTCTTACTTTCTGACTTTTTTTTTTTTTTGCCACACCGACAATTTCCTTTTCTCACTGTAATTATTCCTCTGAGTTGATCTTGGTCAATAATTGTGGAAAAGAGAGACGTTGACTCATCATCATGGGTATCGAAGCACTCGATTTCCCCCAAATGTGGGAACGTCCCGGCTACACTCAACTAGCAGACATTCTCCAGAGTCTCGAACTCAGTCCTCCAATCTGGAACCACAAGCGTCGTCGCTCCGAGATCATCGAGGAGCAAGAATCTCTCGCCGGCCAGCGCAAGGCAGAAGTCACTCGTTACCTCTCCTCCATCATCAAGAGCCCCTTGTCATGGATCGACGACGATAATGAGAAGGAGGTTCTCTGGACGCAGGCAAGCAAGCGCATGTCCGAGCGGTGTGGACGTACGGCTATGGGAGAGGTTATTCGCAGATGGCCATTTGGAGAGGGAAACGACGAGTTCGAGTTGATCATTCGGGAACCGGCGCTTACGGGAGATTCCTTGGGCTTCAAGACTTGGGGATCTTCATATGTGCTATCGCAACATCTTCCTCGCATGACGGAAACATCACTATTTCGATTATTCGACGAGACGTTGGGTCAACCACGACCTGATGTCCTTGAACTCGGTTCTGGAACTGGTCTCCTGGGTCTTGCAGCAGCAGCTCTATGGAAAGTTCCCGTAGCACTCAGCGATCTTCCTAACATCGTTCCCAATCTCAGAGAGAACGTGGCTAAGAACACTGAGCTTGTCAAGTCTCGCGGGGGATCACTCACTGTTGGCGATCTCACCTGGGGAGGAAGCGAAGACGAGGTAGATCAGACCCTGTTTGGACAACTGCACCAGTTCAAGGTATGTTTTTGCTTGTAGAGATCTGTGATTGCAGGGTGATGCTTATATGACTCTTGCTTACAAACGATTTCTAACCTCCCCTGGTGACTAGATTGTCCTCGCGGCTGATCCCATGTACGACGATGATCACCCAGCGCTTCTCGCCTCAGCCATCAGCGACCACCTGGCTCTTGGCTCCGATTCACGCGCTGTCGTCATGGTTCCGCGTCGAGATGCTACCACAGAACGTCTCCTCGAGTCGTTTCGCCAGGCTATGCTTGACCTCGACACACCCTTGTTCTGTGAAGAAGAGGACGAACTTGCGGGGCAGGACGACTGGGTTGAGGACGATGACGCAGGCAATGTGCGGTGCTGGCTGGGCGTCTTCAGCCGTGGTGGCTCACCGCCGTCTCAACTCGGTGATGCAGCACTCATATAGCACTCTGACTGGCCACGACGGCCAGTGATTAATAGAGAAAAGGAAAGTCAGGTGCTTGAAGAAGAGACGAAGTTGACACAGTGGAAAATTTCAGACGAACTAGACATAGACAGTGAGCGAGTAAGGAAACTTAGCGACAATAGAGACCAATGATTTCATGCAAGCAATTGCGCTGTTTGAGTCATGGATCTCCCGTGAACAATCAGCAGACGCTGCTTTAGGGAGTAGTTCATAAGGAGCCCTTTTCTCCCTCTTTTGTGCTTCTGCTTCTTTTCTTCTCCACTTCTACACTAGCAACCCACAACACCACCCCCAAAGCTGCTTTTCTCTACAACATACAACAAATTCTTCTTTCTTCAAGGAAGCATTGATGATCAACCTTAATATCAATTATTTTATCCAATTGCAGCTTTTCATCCGCCCCTCAAGCTATCTCGCGATTCAGTGCCAGTTGAGTTGCAACTAATCGAGGAGGTCTACATAAGCCTTGAGCCACTAATCACAGCCTTCCACCTACATCAACGACTCTGATTAACCCTCAATCCATCACTGGCTTATTCTCTATCTAAGTCTCAACCTCAGACATTTATTGTACTTCTTTTCCCCCTGAACAACAACCTTTGCTCAACCGTCTATCACCTACAACCTTACAACACTCACCGTCGCTGACCACTTAGACGTTTCTTGGACAGTTACACTTTAGACTTTTTGACACTTTCAACACTTGTTCTAAACCTTTGCTTCTTTTCTTACTTCTTTCAAAATGACCGGAAAACCAGTTTACAAACCCGACGAGATACGTTTTGCTTTAAGCCTTATGGAGAAAGATCTCTACAACGATGCGATATCTAACGCTTTTCGGGAACGATTCAACCGAGAACTGACGGATAACCAGATTCGATATTTGAGGAACAAATATGGCAAGGACCCTGACTATGGGTGAGTTGTCTTGTTCCAAGGGGCATTATCACTTGCTTTTTAAATTAACTAACCGACCGTTACTCGTAGAGCTCCCCTTTGCAACAGGCCCAAGAAACGAAAGGAACGTCGAGCTGACTCTGGAGCTGGTTCTTCCGCTTCGCCGGGCTCAGAGTACGTTTCGAATACCGCTCCGATGTCCCTTGCCACGTATCTCTCTAACTTAAGAAACAGAGGTTCACCGACTGAAGCCAAGAGAGCTCGACAGGGGTCTTTCAAAGCTTCAGCAGGACCTTCTCAAACCCCCCAATACCAGCTTGGATCTCCTCCAACGCAATCAATAGCCAAATTTGAAGACATGAAGTCTCCCAGCCCGTCTTCAGTCCCCTTGTTCCACGCAGCCCCAATGGCCCAGATGGGAAACTTCCCTTCACCCCCTACAAACTCCTATAGCCTCTTTTCAGGAGCACCATCTCAAGGAGGCTTCGCGGCTATGCCTTCAGCCAACTCCTGGCAGACACAACCTAGGACAAACTTCAACACTCGTTTTGGGCAATACCAGATCAAGTCGCCAGAACAGGGAAACCCTGAGGCTTGCAACGCCGCATTACACCAGATACCTCATCAGTCACCTAACGTCCAGCCTTCGTATGCCTCTTATCCGACGCAGCCGACAGCTAGCTCTCGCGCACCAGTTTCATCTCCGCAGCAGACCGTAGCCGTAGGGGGCGCAGCCTAGGAATCCTCCGCTACCCAACGCTCACCGTCCTTCAAGATGGATATGCCCCTCTCCAACTTTTCTCAACTTTCCAACTTCGCGTATCCTCAACAGATACCACCCATTGAAGAGCATAAGCAACAGCAGGATCGAGAGTCTGAGTTGGCCGGACGAGACGACGTCGCCCCGGTGTATTGTGATGAGTACTTCGAGCCAGCTCACCAAGCAGCTGAACAAAGTGAACCGCAACCAACTCAAGGTCAGGATGAGGACGCTTCAGAGCAGCGAGTCCCACAAGATTGCAAGCAATCTGCTTCTTTGGGCACTTCTGGTGATAGCAATGAACACCAACCCGCCAACCAAGGTTTCTCGCATGACTCTGAGAGCTAGAATGGCGACGATGGGGGCTTCAATACGAACACGATAGATCCCAAGTTGTTCAATGCAACCTAGGATTTGAGGTTGCTCTTCATCAAGCCGTGCTCCTGAGGTGGTGACTGGATTGTTCCACATTGTATACTATACTTGACATAACTCAGTCCCCAGGGACTGGTGATCTCTCAAATACCCCATTACTTCTCCGTGATAGATCTGGGCCTCTTTATCGCTCCTGAGATGGTAATTCGTCTTCCTTTGTTTGACCTGTCCACAGGTGGGGTCACACATTTGGTGAAGAACACCAGCTGAGCATTCTGAGATTTGTTTCCCAAGGCTGCGGAGTTAATGCATATCACGAGGCTTATAAACCAGCCGCATTTGTTATAGTTGATACCCAAGTTAAGATCCACAGAACTAGATAGGCAAGACTTGGTTTGGATACCTGGTTCTTAGGCCACTTAGCATAACTAGTTAAATAGCATGCACTTATCTCAATCCACTCGTCCCCTTCGAAGTTCCTTGATTCCTAATGCGCCATACAATAAATCATAAATCTTGATGTAAGTTTGGAGACTTGACTCATCCAAATATTTCTGGTCTTACCCTCCAGCTCTCTCATATCATCAACTCGCCCGCTAGAGCATTCCAACAGGGTATCTCGTGCAAGTAGAAACGAACAGACCACCGCCTAAACCTCTTGAGGATGCCTCTCCAATCTCTGATAAAAATATTGTGATGTGTGTGTAAGCATGCTGGCATACGATAGATAGTCCTTAAATCCTTGTGGTCCAACTCCCAAAACTCTTCAGTATAAAACAATAACATTAGACGTAACGTGGCATAAGTATGGGTGATTCGACACTACCATTGCGTCGAAATAGAAGTTTATGAATATAGTTGAACAGCATGTTACACCACAATGCTGACGTTGCGGCGGGTGTCGACCTCTTCAACTGGGAATTGAAAAACGACCTTGAAGAGATCTCGGAGATAAGCATAACGCTGTGAACTCTTCATCATCATTTGAATACTCTTGGCCATCTCCTGGGCAGTAACGCGCTTGCCTCGGGCTGGCAAGGCGTGGTGTCTTGGAATTATCGCGTCAGTAAGGACGGAGTTTTTGTATTGTGATAGCAATGTCGAGTGCGAGATGAGGGACCCAAACGATCCAGGAGGAAGATCCTGCACGAATTTCTGTAATGCAGCAGCAGCAGCTTTGGGCTCGTGGATGGTATCACGATTGAAGCCAAGATTCATAGCAGCTCGGAGAACGAGGACTTTTGCACGCGTCACATTTGCATCTTCCGATGCAGCTGTAGTGGTGGCTGTGCTTGAAGTCCTGGTACTGCTCTTCGAGTAACTGGAAAGATTGGACGCGCTGCTCGACCATCGGCCACGGCTATTATCGCTAGGAGTACCAAGGACAAGAATGTTGGGCATTGTTGGCGAGCGACTCTGTGGAGAGATGGGCGTGTCCTCAAACTCGGTTACAGGGGTTTCTGGAACAGCTGGGTTTCTTGGCTTCTCTTCCTGTCGCCCACTCTTGACACTATCGTGCCTTGAATGGACTGAAGATGGGTTTGATCCTCGACTCTGTCGGCCGCTCTGATCGTTGAGATGTTGAGGGAATGCGTGCCCGGCTCGAGGTGTTCCCCTATCAGGTCGAACTTGTGTCCAGCTGTCTCGGAATACATCACAGAGCTCCCAGCAGGCTTGGACAGTAGAGCTCAGCAACTCCTCATCTGGGGGTCTTCCATCCCTTCTGTTTTGCCTGAGATTGAAGAGCATCTCTGCAAGTGCCCAGCAGGCCCTGAGCAACTGATCGGTTTCCTCTGCCAGATCGCTCCGTTGCTTCATTAGTCGATGACAAAGCGCGATATAGAAGTCCAGTGTGCGTTCTCGGAACTGCTCCGGTAGAGTACCATCCTGAGCACTATAAAGGCTGCCAACTTGTTAGAGTAAGATCTTTCACTCACTTGATGCACTTACTGGTTGTTGAGCTCAAAGCTAACACGCAAAACCGAGTCCGCTGCTTCATCATTACGCTGCCGGACATCGAATAGCGCTTGACAGAAATCGCGACACAAATCAAGGTTGACCTTGACATTAAAATTGCTCACGTCCTCATCTCGGCTATGATAAAGCCGTTGACAAAGTTTCCAACATGTCCTCCATGCTTTTTCGTGGGCATCAGGAATGCCATTTTTGCCAAGAGCGCGGTTACGATTGATCGAACTGAGCTTAGACAAACTGTTGCACAAAGTCCAGCACTCAGCAAGAGTTGTTCGTAGAGTCTCAATCTCGTCTTGTTGCTGTGGTATCGGCATGGCTTCTGATTCATAGTCTTCGTCGTCACCCTCAGCCTCGGTTTGTTCGTCAATTTCTAGACAGATTAGTCCTATACGGCGACTTAACCGGTATTAACTTACTTTCGAGACTACTCGTACTACTTGAGCGTAGCCGGGCTCCATCATCCAGCATGGATTGCAGGTCCTGAGCACGGGGTGTGGCGCTGTCGATGCTGTACCGCACAGGGTTCACATCGGTTAAAATCGGAGGTCGAACGGGATGAGTCGATGTCTGATGGCGGTTTAGTACATGTCATAAATTTGGGCTAAGGATAGCAAACCTTCTCTTGTCCACCATTGAGAGAGGCTAGACTTTCAGCCTCTGACTTTGGAGATGTCCTTGGACTTGACCCTTTTTGTTCCATGGCTGGAGGTGCGGCGGCAGCTGGAGCAGCCTGAAAGGTATTAGATGTGTAGGATCTAGAATGATGATGAAACTTACCCAGCTGGAAAAGTTTTCGGGTGCATGGATGACAGAAATAGCCTCCTCGTTGCTGGACTGGCGCACACTCTCCGGCAAGTTAGTTGTGAGCATTAAGAGCTGTGGTCAAGTTAATTTATAGTCCAAAAGATGGCGGCGACGCCCATTGTGACTGACCTCCGACCGACGGGTAACCTTTCTATCACTAGCTTCCTTCTCAATATCCTCTGAGACATCATCCTCAATCTCGGTCGTTTCAGTACCATTAGATGTGACTGGAGAAGGACCCACAATGTCACTGGGACTCATGACATTGTAGGAGCTACTTGACATGCGATTGACAGAATTGGGTCGAAGTGAGGACGAATCGGTAGCGGGAGGAGGGGAAGAGCTGAGACATGAGTTAATAGAGATTCCAAGAGGTTTCACCCTAAGCGCATAGCTTCCAAGGCAACGCACAATGGTCTGAATGGAGAGCGACGGCTCTCATTCTCTGTGGGCGCAGACATGTCTGTCTGAGGGTAAACGAAAGGGAATTGTAGGCTTCCAGTCGATGACCTCAAAGGAGCTTCAAGGGCCATGACGGGAGCGTAGAGTTCCTAGGTATTGAGCTACCCCGACGGTGGTAGTTGAGAGCTCCGGTGGAAGAGGGGTCCTTAAGACAAGCCACAGCTCCAGCCAAGCGTTGACGCAAAAAAGCCTTGCGATGCAGCTATCTCAAGGTTGACAGACGATCGAAACTTGACGCAGGAGGCAAATTCGAGATTACCAACAGCTGTCGTGGCAGCGAAGAATAAAATATGAGCTTGTCGGTTGGCGGTCGATGTGCGGTCGCGCGGCCAGTTACGAGACCTATGGAATTGGGTGTGCTAAGATCGGGAGGCTGCGTAACTAGTCTGATCCAGTCAAAAAGTAATAAGGAAAGATTGATGAAATAGAAACAATACAGAAGGCATCAAATGCTGAATGAAGGGCTCAATAACACTCCAACGATGAAGCAAGCAAGCAAGTTCGTCCAACAAAACCAGCTCACCAAAAGCCGAACCGAAGAGAGAGAATGGATAGAATGGAGGGGGAAAGGTTTAAAGAAACAGGCAGAGTCAAAAGCTGGAGCACAGCGGTTGCAACGACGGACTAAGGCAGACAGACAGACGCCAGTTTGACAGGGGTTCGTGAGACCGGGTCCCTTGTTCTCGCAGCCCTGCTACATTGGGGTGCTATGGGTCAGGTACTCAATTGTAGCTCTTGTTATTGCGAGTCAAGTAACGAATAAGCAGACAGTGGTGTTCAAGATATTTGTTGATGCCACCCTTGATAGCTATGAGCTGGCTTCAGAAGCTTGCTACCTCGTTGCTTTTCTGCTACCAGTCCCGGCGAGCTGCCTTGAGTTGTTATGGAGGGGGACCGTACATGCGGCCGGCGCTTGTCGGGAGCGCGATGGTTGGCGCGGTGGGAAACAAAGAGACGCGATAGTTGTGAAAGATTGAGTATAAAAGTCTTGTAGAATTGCTTCTTAAATGGAATTGAAGCAATGCGCTTCTTTGAGTGATTCGAAGACTGTAATTATGACTCGACCAAATGTATGTTTGTCAACGGTTCACCAGACTGAGCAGAGAAAGACAGAATGTCGAGGAACGTGAACTAAAAAGAACGGTTGGATCATGAATGGGGCGTGGCCCAGCTGACGGAATATGGGAGGTGTGGATAATGATCAAGCTGGTAGCAGGAGGGGCTCTGCGGCTAGGACGCAACCTGTGACTTGATGCTGCTGGAGAGCAGCTAAAAGAGAGTACAGCCAAGACAACACCTGAAGTCTGAATTGTCTTGCCGAGACAAGGCAGCGAGCGGGTGGGCCAGTTGTGTGGATCAATGAGCAGATGGGACTTTAGAGAGGAGGGTCAAGTTGGGGGCCAGAGATGTTGAGTTATTAGGCAGTTGCTGGGTTTCCTTTGAACAGTCTGACCAAGAAATTCCGCCAAGGACGATGGGTTGGAGACTGATGAGTCCCAATTTATTCCCGAGATGGCTTTCTCAAATGTTTGAAAGGCTTGAATCTAGGTTCAATAATACCGAGGTGTGGCAGAAGCCGTCAACTTGCAGCATCGGGGTGTTGAAATTGGATGCTAAGGGTGAATGGATGGAGCGGCTAATCGTGAGTGGTCTGTCCTCTTGGACCGCTTCAAGCGACTTTCAACAAGTTTTCTTGTCTCTGGCGATTGTGTTGAGGAGAATAGGGTGTGGTCAATGCAACCTGTTGATGACTCCCTTGTGTGTAGTGCAGTGACTCTTATTATGCACGAAAGTCAATTCAATGCTTGCGCTTGCTCATGGAAAAGCCGAATTGAATCAATTGCAGATGGCTGGCATAAAGATGTACGTCAAGATTGGTGATGGGCTGAGAAAATGATGTCTCTGGAGGAAACTAACAACATCGTCGTGTAAGTCTAAAGCATTACCGTTGGCGGAAGGAGAGGCTGGCTGGTTGACGAATGTATCAGGGGACGGGAGGCCCACTCTGGTTAGCACCTGCCCTACGTACAGATCGCAATCATCACTTTTCCCGCGGTAAGTGCATTCGATGTCAGTTACCTTAATCAAGCCAGGCCCGGTGGCTGAGGTTAGGTACAGGGACAATTTCCACCTTCGGGCTGTCTTTTTCATCTTGAGATCTTGTGGACCATTACTCAATTTCTCTAAAGCAGCATAAGTCAGTTGCCAGCGCCTTCGTCCCGACTTGCCGATCTTGCTAAATAACTGACAGCAACTACTTCTGCAAGAATATTTGCCCGTCACTTTGTGCTCAACTTAACAGTTTTGCACCGCTACAAGACAACCATAAGGGAGAACTTCCAGCCGCCCGCCCATGACAATGAGCCAGTCAAACCCCAGACAGCTGGCCAGGGGGGATGGATCGTGGCTCCAAAACTCGTGGGGCACTTTAAAAAAGGACAGGCGTCGGCGCTTAACTCATGGTGGGACTGGCCAATCCTCCGAAGTCCCCCACTTGCATTGCTTCCACCAACGACCTGGAACTGTCCAATGTTATGCTTCATGGTGCTTTATGTTCGACAAGCTACAAGATACACTTCCGAGCTTTCCTCCCAAGTTCAGCCGTACGGTACTATGGGTGCAAAGTAGATGCCATGTGCCATGACCCGCTGCACAGCATCAACGGTACGGAATGTGACACTCAGTGCTGTATACGTATTCAGCATGATCGACAACCTAAAATCGGAATCCCAACCAGCTTCATGTTTAGAAAGGACATAGACATACGGTGGGAGTCTTGAGTCCAGAGGACATCAACACCCAACATGCTGTTAAGTTACTTTGCGTGAGAGCGTGTGTCGTGACTGACACTTCAGCCGGCTGACAGCGTCCCAACTTAATGCTTTATCGGTGGCCCCTCGAAAGACATGTTGGTTCGATACAGTCTCCATTGCTTGTCAGATGACACTCCATCCGAATTACCTGAGGATGGAGTAAAACAACTATGGTCGGCGAGGCAGAATTCTTCGCTCACTTCCGCAGTCGGCTGAAGGAGTGGCCGTCTCTTCCCATTACTCCAGAAGTCAATCGCAATACTTATGGCACAACACTAGGCCTTCCGATGGTGCTTCTAAACGCCCAGGGCTCGCAGGGGTACGACCAGGATTTAGAACAAGCCAATCAACAACCCAAACTTCAGAACCCGGCAAACCCAGCAGTCTGGTCACGGCGGCTTTGGCAACGCTAAAACGAGCCGGTGGCCCCACCACCCGGGGTTGCAGCACGTCCTTTGTGACGCACAGTTCTCGCTCTGGAGCATGACTTTCGTGGCAGGCAGTTCAACAATGTCCAGACTCCAGCAGCTGAGCAAAGCAACAATAGCATATTAACACCAGAAGATACTTGAGCTAAGCCCTCTAGTCAATCTCTCTTTCACCTGGCTCTTCAAACCAAATCGCTTTGGCCTCCAGAGCCTTTCACAGCCTGGCCACTCCAAGGCATTGAGGAACGGACCAGGACACAGAAACAGTTATCTTCATTTGTTTATCGTTCACAACTGCCAGAGAACTAGTACCGTAAGTGGACTCTTTGCCCATTTATAGAGATGACCAACCCATTCGCTTGTCATCAGACCAACAGAATTAGCCCACGAACTCATGCAACCTAAGAGGATGTTTCCAAAACTGTTTTCCCGGACTTAATCCTCGGCTAGATTTACAACGAGAGGAGTGACTACGAGACCAAGATTGGAGTATTTGCTCCTCATATCACCCATGTCATGACAGACAATGTCGCCTGGGGTTCGGACCCTAGTAGCCAGTTTAGCGTGGTGATAACCCCAATGCCTGTTGCGTTGTTTTAGTTATCACAGCGCTAGATAGATTGTCGGAATTGTTTTAACGATCACCAATCCTTCCAGCCGGTGCGGGGACTTCTAGCCCTTGTTAGCTGGTTGAATAGGTGTTGATGCACCCTTGACAGCTCCACGAGTTCACCTTGAGATTCGGAATGGTACAAGCTTTCTGCTCCCACTGAGCCAGGGATCTTTCTCGATTCTTTCTTCGAACCCAAGGGCAGGGTTGCGGTGTGGATTTACCCCTTCCGGAACACATCCCGCTATCCACCACCGCAGAGGTCAGAATGTTCAGATGTGACCCAACAAGGCTGGCTACGTACACATCGCCCAACACACAACACATGAGGATGTAATTATAATACATGGGCTGAGATTTGAACACCATACTTAAGAGTCATGAAAACCGAATTGGGCTTTCGCGTATGCACGAAAAAGTTGTGGAGGGAAGCACAGAATGCAGTGCATAAGCGCCAGCCTGACTAGACCTTTGACACTTAGACACTCTTCTCTTTGGCGCGAGGTGGTTTGTTTATCGTGTTGTACAACCCGATGACTCAAGCTTTCCACTTGCGGTAACCAGTCCGTCTATGCTGTGTGTCTAGGGATCAAGATCGTGTTGGTCGATCAACATAAGAAAAAGAAAAGCGCGGTTGTTGGCCAAGCTTGGTACTACACAACCAGGTCGCTCGGGTGTGGTAAGTGTTTTCCGACTTGCTTGAAGGATCGTTAATTGTTGTTACTATACCATAGCACGATTTGTACATGAAATACATCTGTGCCCATAGCCTTGCGGCCCGAACATACATGCACACTGAATGGGCTCTTCCAAACCAACACCTCTTTGTCTTATCTTCACTGTCTGCGACATGACTCTGAAATGTCTACTCCACTGAGAGGAGGGCGGCCCGAAGTATTGGATAGGCTGAGCGACTTGATTACAGCCAAGATTGGAAATCCATGACGGGCCTCAAAGAGAGACTATCCGCTAGGGCATTGGCCTTCAGAAACTCCCGACCTTCTGGAAACGAGGTCCAAGTCACATAAGTTGTGAGACTCGGGCGTGGTGACTGGCTTACAGCCCGGCACGGGTCTATATCATTGTTTTTACCGTCAAAGTAGTGGAAGAGTCGCAAGTTAAATAATGGGCTTGAATAAGGGTAAGTCTCCCGCCAAGATATGGGAAAGTCATTAACATCATTATCATTCACATAGCAAAAGGTCAGTCAAGTTCTTGAGTCTCTTTATGACAAGCTTTTCATTGCTTCGGACCTACAGATTAGGACAGCTTTGTTAAATTGTCATCAGTCTCGCTTAGAGGGAGGCCACATTTGCTTTAAACCTGGTGGGCAGGTATCGCGATGTATACAGCGAAAGCGTCGCATGCCCTTACACCGATGTCAAGCACTAGGGCAAGAAGTTACAGGATCGACGGCAAAAGAGCAACCCTGCTATAATGGATCAGGTATAGACCTCAGAGACATGAGAACTTCAACCAACGT